TAAGAAACTCATGGCAGGAAAAAAAGACATCAGAATGGATAATTACAATAAATTTAGACACATTTTGTGTTAAAGATATTGAGTGTAGAGCGAAACTACATAGGAAAAAGTAAATAACTTCTTAAAAATTTCAATATGGATGTCAGAAAAGCAATTATCACGTATATAGCTGTGTGTGTCTGTGTGTGTGTGTGTGTGTGCGTGGAAATTAAAAAGCTTTTCTTCCCACCCTTTCGAGTCCAAGACATAAATAATACTTCCAAATCCTTCTTTTACTTCTTTTTAAAAAATTTTTGATTGATGCAGTATAATTGTACATACTTATGGGATACAATCTAACATTTTGATACATATATATGTTGTATAGTAATCTGGTCAGGGTAGTTAATGCATCAGTTGCCTCATGCACTTATCATTTCTTTGTGGTGAAAACATTCAAAAGCCTCCGCTAACTATTATGTGACATACGAAATTTAGCTGCTAACCGTAGTCACTCTGCTGTGCAGTAGAACATCAGAACTTACTGCTCCTCTCTCTACTTCTTTTTACATTAGAGTATATTCACTCTTCTTTTCTCCCTCCCAGGCAGTGCCTTTCCCAGGTATTTATGAAGGTCACTTCTCCACCCTCCCATTCCTGCACTTTTCCTTCCATGTTCTTCCATTTCCCAGAATCATTCCACATCTCTTTGTAAATTGTCCTTCCATATTTTTATATAGTCTTAGTGTTTAATCCTAAGCCTTAAAAATAATGGGTCCTGTATAAATCTTGGTCGATGTGATTCTTGGTTTTAGATTATCAATACATAGTCCATACAAAATAAGTTCTTTAACCTGGACAGATTTTTAGCTGACCTCAGCAGAGATGCTCTCTCTTAAGTGCACTATCATCTATGTGAGGTAGGACTCATGTGTTATGCTTGTATTAAAAGTGCTGGCTGGCCCCACACGTCTCTGTGTATATGTGTTACAACACCTCTAAAGCTGAAGGTTTTTTGTGTGCCTTTCACAGGAGTTTGCCATGCCTCAGAGCTACTCCAAGTTTTTCTACTCTTACTGGACAGGGCTTTCCCGCAACAGCACTAGCAAGACCTGGCTGTGGATAGATGGAACCCCTTATTCTTTTGAACTGTAAGCCTTTAGAACGTTTTATGGGAAAAGCATTTTATAGAGAGATTTTGCTTGAATGATAGAGTTCAACAGTTTGGTTCACTAAGCATTAATCGAACATCTGCTTTTTATTGCATACTATGTTTGCAAGAGGATGTCCAAAGATGTTTGAAGCATAGTGCTTACTCTTGAATTGCCTATAAATCAGTGAGTAAAATATCAGGGACAGTTGTTTGGGGGGGTCGGGGAGAGACACAGAGAGAGAGAGAGGATAAGACCTAAGATTTTCTGGCTTTTCATGTGTGAAGTAGAGAGCACATCTTTAAAAATACAGTCTCTGAGAATATATTTGCTGACAATATAAAACAGTACTACTATTTTTTAAAACTAGTTTTACTAGCTGTTGTGAACATTTAGATAGGAGTATGTATGGTATCCTTTGAAATAGGAAAATGTAATTTCTATACAAAATATGTTACGGTTAAGGCTATGTTTGAACAGATACCTTTCCCCCCCTATATATAGCATAGCATTTATTCTCCTAGAAGACAGTACATATACAATGTAATTATTTGTATTTTACAGTTAAATAAACTGAGTCATGGGGAAAGTAGATAACTTTTTGAATGGTAGTGAAATCATTTGATTAAATGATTAAAACACGTATGTTAGCTTTAGTTAGAAATAGTTCT